TGTGGATGATTGCTTCTGACTTCTGCCTTTGCTCTTCTGCTCACCAGAAATTAAGATTCACAGTCATATAGTGATGCACTGGTAGCAAAGCAGAATGCTTAGTAAGCTATCATTTGACATATCTTGGTACAGAGCTGTGCTCAAATGGCTAAACCTGGTATAACTATTGACTGCAGATTGTTTGGCACGAGGACACAGCATTCCGGAGATCTGCTGAGGGCTGGAAGTCATTTCTGAAATACTTGTAAGTTGCCATTACCTCAGAATACTTTCATGTTTATGCACCTATTCATTGATTTCTGAATGTGCCTCGCCATTAGAATGATAATCTGGCCCAGTATGTCCCAAAGAAGAATGTACTTGCGATTGCATTTTAATAGGGGATGTCTTCTCGAGTACTGCTTTAGAAGGTGTGGTCCTGCAAACCTAAGCTGAATTATATACGCACAATGGGACAACATTTCGACATCATACATCATTATATTGCCCTGGTTACATTTCAACCACCCGCCCCTAGAATTTTAGCCCATTTAGGGGTCGAATCGGATTGGTCAGAATCAGATGCCAGAGTTGTAAGTTGGAACCAGGTACTACCCATAGCAAAACACAGACCAGGAAATGCGTGTCGAATGAAGTGATCACATGGTGTGCTGCAAATGCAAACTAGAATATACCTCTTGATATTGCAGCAAGTTGCCTGAGTTGAATACCAACTTGATCAGGGCCCCAAGGATAAGGCATGCCCACAAGCCATGGTCCCCATCAGGCATCGGCCTTCTCATGCCAGAACACACTTGAGACAGGGTGGTATGGATGGCTGGTCCTATATATATATTTTTAGCTTAATGCCTCTAGCAGTTGAAGGAATCAGTACTACAGTAGAGCAGCAATCACCCAACTAGAAGTATTTGCTCCATCCCTCACCGATAACCAAAAATCTGATCCCCCCCAAATATTTGATCAAATCATTTATACTCCTGCGGTTCCTGCCCCACCATCTTTTCTGGTAGCTACATATGACCCATTCCTTCAACTATAAATCCATGACCTGCCCAACACAACTTCTACATCTCCAAACGGACACATCAATCTGTGCAAAAGTGTATCACACCATCAGAGCCGAAGTGCATTTTAGCCAAGAACACATAACAGCCATGATGCATTCAAAGAAGCTTGCTCAACTTGCCAAGAAGTGCAAGAGGCTGGTGGCAGCTGGTGGGCAGCAGACTGCAGACACCGACGGATGCTGCAGCACTGCTTCTGTTGCAGACAGGGGCCACTGTGTCATGTACACTGTTGATGGATCACGGTTCGAGGTCCCTTTGGTGTGTACCTTGGCACAATGGTCTTTGGTGAGCTCCTGAGGATGTCTCAAGAGGAATTTGGCTTCTCTAGCGATAGCAAGATCACATTACCTTTTGATGCCTCTGTGATGGCGTATGTGATGTGTTTGATTAGGAGAGAGGCCTCTGAAGAGGTTGAGAAGGCGTTCCTGAGCTCCATAGCAATGCCTTGCCACAGTGCAAGTTGTGTGGCTTCAGTGAAACTTAATCAGCAATTTGCTGTTTGTAGCTAGTGATAAATGTTTTGTTCAGTTGAATGTAAATTATAAGAATTGTAGGAATGCAAAGAAGATATAGATTTTCTCATCTTAGCAGATCAGTGTGATAATTTCGCTGAAAATCTTGAATTCCTCATGATTATTTACATCCACATCTTTGGTGTTGGTACTCGCTAAATGTTCTAGATAGGACTCAGGCAGCCAGTAGAGTGATTGCTGAACTTTGAAAGACGTTTGCAGAAGTTCAAAGTTAGATGATTAGGCATTGTTAAGCAAGTATCCAGAAAGAAGTACGGACCTCTCGTCTTCTGTTTTGTTTGTTTTGTCTTTCTTTTGTTGTTGTGTAAGTTTCTGCTTTGATCAATGAATTTAGCAGCTTTCCTGCTATTTTTCAGAAAGAGATACGACCACTTCAAGTCTCGACTGAGAAATATTGTCCAGTAGAACTGCTTACCACTCAATAATGACAATAAGTTTTCAGTCCAAAAATAAAATGACAGCAAGTTAGTTGTAGTCCAGTAGGTCTATATTGGGGAGTGTAAGAAGCAGCGACGAAATGGAGTTCACATGAGATGCTACTAATCAAACAGACAACCAGCAAAAGATTTTATGAAATTGCCAGGCAAGTTGTTCACTTGTTTGGACTTTGGACCACTAAACACATTACAACTGGTTGTTCAGAAACAATGGGCGTGGAAAACCGTCAGACTATGTATCTCAATCTCAGGCGATATCCAGATCTTTAAATAATTGATATCTCATTTCCCACAGAACTGCCTCTCACTGTTCACATGTTGGACCCAACTTACATGTAGTCCTCATGAAGCATGCCCCTGGTCCATTGAGCAGGCCAGTATGGCGGCACATTGTGATATCCAATCACCCAAACACTACCACTACTGGCTCCAACAGGTGCCAAAGGGCAAAGGGGTAGCGTCTAAACATTGGATGTTCGAAGCTCATGGCCTTGTCCCTTGCCAGCTCGCTTTGATAGCTGCACTTAAGCTGCATGCCTATCTTCAGCCCACCTATAAATACAACAGCTCTGAACCGCCGGTTCCATCCACAAGCAAAGCAGTGCTGCTAGCTTAACACTTGACACAAAACTCTGAGCTTTCTGCCAAGAAAGAAGGAGATACAACCATGATCAGTGCCAAGAGACTTTCTCAGATGATAAAGAAGTGGCAAAGAGTGGCAGCCATTGGGAGGAAGAGGCTCATGTGGACTTCAGCAAAAGAAGTCGATGAGTGCTGCACATCAGTGGCAGTGAAGGGCCACTGCGCCATGTACACTGCTGACGGGAGGCGGTTTGAGGTGCCATTGGCGTACCTCAGCACGCCGATCATCGGGGAGCTCCTGAGGATGTCTCAGGATGAGTTTGGCTTCACAAGCGATGGAAGGATAACCCTGCCTTGTGATGCAGCTGTGATGGACTATGTCATGTGCTTGCTCAGAAGGAACGCATCAGAAGAGGTAGAGAGAGCTTTCTTGAGCTCTGTGGTGAGACCTTGCCAGTATGCAAGTGGTTTGGAGCCATCTATGGGAGTTAGCCAGCAAGTAGCTGTTTCTGGCTTCTGAGGATTCAGTTGTTCGTTTTACCTGCTTTTTTCTGTCCATCCTTTTGGATGATGTAAATAGTTCTATGTAGGAGATAGGAAATGAAGGAATCATATTGCAAGTTGACCATTTGACTCTTGTCTTGACTCCTGACTGCTTAGTTCCATAACTCTTCTTTCTGCGACAAATTAAGCTAAGGCTCTATTGTGTTAGACAAGGAAGTTAAGACTTAAGTTGATGAGTCTGGCATGCTGATTTGTGCAAGCACACAAAAATTGAACAGAACTTGGTACTAGTTTAGCAAAATGGTATGGAATCATGGTCATGTAAAGTTATCTTCTGCAATAACTGTTAGAACCTCTTGCAGATCACCAACCTTATTCTGGGTGGTCAAAATAAAAAAAAGCTAATAAATCCTGATAAAATCTTACAGGAAACTGTAAGAACAACAAGCGAACTGGAGTTCACATATGAGATGCTGCTAATCAAACAAACCATCAACTAAAGAGGTGGTGTGAGATTATTGAATCTGGTGGTACAGCAACAACTCGTTGTGGGCATAACCAACTGTCAGATTATATATCTCCATCTGAGGGTCCACCCTATGTATTTTATCAGGATGTACTCAAGCACTCAAATAATTTGTATTATGATGCACAATCACAAGAGAGTATACATTGTCAGTGATCATGTGACAGATCCTTGCACAAACTGAATGCAAACTAAGAATTATGACCAGATGGCTAAATCTTGTATAACTATTGCCTGCAGGTTATTTGACATGGGGATTCGGCATTTCGTAGATCCGCCGAGGGCCAGAAGTTACTCTCGCAATGCTTGTAAGCTGCCATTACCTCTGAATGCTTTCGTGTTTCTACATGTATCAGTTGTTTTCAGACCCTGTTTTTCTATAGGCTATTCTGAATACAATGTCAAAGTAGGATGTAGTTGTGATTGCGTTTTGATATGGATTGTCCTTCTTGTGTACTGTTTCAGAGGATCCGATCCTGCACGCACAGCTGAATGATATCCAACATTTTAACATAATACATCATGATGGCACCCAGGTTATGACTTGATTGAAATTAAGTGGATGCAATATTTTATTTTATTTTGAATTAGACTACTTACTATTTGAGTCTACTAATCTGTTCTCTGTATATTCAAAGATAATATTAATAGAAAGACTCTGAAGTGTCGTGGATTTTTTTATTCTCTATATATCAGAGGGGTTTGTTCTAAGAATTTGGGTCTATTTAGGTGCCCCTGTATGATGGTGAGGATCCAGCAGTCTTGTTTTAAGTTGAAACAAGACGCAATATCCACAGGAAAATGAAAACCAGAGAGCATGGCTTGAATGAAGCAATCGTGCGACCCCACTGCAAATACACATTATATATTGCTACAAGTAGCTTGTGTTGAATACCGGCATGTTCAGGGCCAGAAGTATAGGTGGTGCACATAAACCATGGGCTCTATCAGTCTTCTCACGCTGCAACACATTTGAGACATGGTGATATGGAGGGCTGGTCCATGAAAAATATCTTGGCTTTTCTAACCATTGCGTGCGCCAGTACCACAGTACACTTTCATCCAACCAGTATTGGTTGCTGCATCACATGCCATACAGCTGGTCTCATCAAATCTTATCAAATCACACTGTTTCTTCAGCATTGCACATGCCATGTTTATAGCCTTGTCTCCTGTGGTCCTGTCCACACTTGAGCTCATAGTTACATCTAACCCTTCTACCGTTCTCTCTTCCTTCAACTATAAATACATAGCTCGCTTAACACAGCTACTTCATCCACAAGCAAGATAGCAATCTAAGCATCACACCTTCCTGAGAGAAAGAGCATTTTAGCAAGAACACTACAGAACCATGATTCATCCAAAGAAGCTGGCTCAACTGGCTAAGAAGTTGCAGAGGCTGGTGTCAGCCGGTGGCCAGGAGACTGCAGACACCGACGGATGCTGCAGCACTGCTTCTGTTGCAGACAAGGGCCATTGTGTTGTGTACACCGCCGATGGATCACGGTTCGAGGTCCCGTTGGCTTACCTTGACACAGTGGTCTTCAGAGAGCTCCTACAGATGTCTTAAGAGGAGTTTGGCTTCACCTGTGATGGCAAGATCACATTGCCCTGGGTTGCCTCTGTGATGGAGTATGTGATGTGTTTGATTAGGAGAGAGGCCTCTGAAGAGGTCGAGAGGGCGTTCCTGAGCTCCATAGTGAGGCCTTGCTACAATGCGAGTTTGCCGCCATCAGCTGGATTTTATCAGCAATTTTCTGTTTGTAGCTAGTGGTACATGTTTTTTGTTCAGTTAGATATGTCAGTTGTCAGGACAATAGGAAATGCAACAAAGATCCTATTTTCTCATCTTAGCAGATCAGTGGGAATTTTCTGAAAATGTCAGTTTCCTGTGATTACACATCTGCATCTTTTGCGTTGCTACTCACTAAATGTTCTTGATAAGATTCAGCAAGCTTTCGTGTAAAAAAGAAGTCAGCCTGCTAGTCAGTAAATATGTTTCATTGATGAGTTTTGGAAGACGTTTGCAAAACTTGAAAGAATAGTCAACGGGAATTTGAAGCTATACCTATGTTTGCCAAATTCTCAAGCACTGTTGAAAGAAGAAAAAACAGAGGGCTTAAACCTCGATGGCATGGTAGTGTAAAAAAAGCAGAACTTGAATTGGAACCAACCACGATATGAACCTCCTTTCTTTTGTTCCATTTGCTTGTCTTTCGTCTGATCTTGTTGTAAGTTCCTGCTCTGAGTAATGAACTTGGCAGCTCTCCGGCTATGCTGGAAAATTAGGTACGACGGCCTCGAGTCTCAACTGAGAAATGTGGTCTACATCTGCAATGCTAGCTAGGTGTTGTTTTTTAAGCAGCGCTTTGGTTGCTGCAGAGTCTAGCAACTTGCTGGACAGTTCATACGGTCTGCATGATTTCTTAGTCCCAGCTACTCTCCTCATAGGATCCTAATGAAAAGCACAATCTTGTACTGGATCAGGGCATTATATTAGTAATCCCATTAGGACGGATTTATCAAATTGGGGGATATTATTGCTTGGCAGTTTTTTAAGCTCATTCGTGAACATTTCTCTGACCACCTGAACGTTTCTTTGTAAATTTCTGGGTCTGACGCCACGTAACTGTGCAGAAGAATATGTTGAGTTGCTCTGTTCAAGTCCTAAAAGCGACCAGTCATTTATCTCCACAGAAATATAAACGCTGGAGGAACGGTGTTTGTAACCGTTTTTCGATCGCAAAACTAAAATTCTTTGCATAGAACATCCTCTTTCCTGCTTCCTACATCGAATTACTTTACATACAAAAGTAAACATGATGACAATTAGCAACTGCAGACAATAACATGCTGGCTAACTTCCACAGGTGGAGCTGTATAGTAGCATGGCATCACCATGGAGCTAAGGAACGCTGCCTCCACCTCAGCAGAGGCACTTCTTCTGAGCATGGACATGGCGTACTCCATCACCATGGCGTCACAGGGCAGCTTGATCCCTCCTTCACTGCCTGCGAAACCAAACACCTCTTCAGACATCCGCAGGAGCTCACTGAAGACCACCGTGCTGAGGTATGCCAATGGCACCTCGAACCGTCTCCCATCAGTGGTGTACATGACACAGTGGCCCTCTCGTGCCACTGCTGTTGAGCACTCTTCGACTTCTGTTGTTGCCGTCATGGTAAAGCGCTTCCTCCCGAGAGCTGCTACCCTCTGCCACTTCTTTGCTAGTTGAGCAATTCTCCTGGCGTTGATCATGGTTGGTTCTTTTTTGCTGGGAGTTGGAAGCTCTAGCTGAGTTGCGAATGCTTTGTTTGTGGATGAAGCGATGCTGTTTTGAGGCTACTGGACCAAGAATTTATAGCTCGAGATATGAGCCCTGTCAAGTGCCATTGATGATTGGGTAAGGGGACAAGGCCATGAGGTTCATTTGTGCAATGCTGCAAGCAGATCAAGGATTATGCATTTCTATGGGCCAAATGTTTGGTGCATGATGGGTACTGCCATAGTGGGCATGTCTGGTGGATAAGTGACACGAGGACCCCATGCAAACTGGGTTCCAGCATTGTGCAATGAGATATTGGCAGACAAGCCTTGTGCAGGCATCTTGGGTCCAGCCTTCCGATGGATGGGCTACATCTTATTTGGAATCTTGTGTTATGGGAGTGACACCGTCAAGGATGAGCTACTTATGCTTAGCTGCAAGAGTAATGATTTCACAATGATCAGGGGATCCTAGTCTTGCACTCTGCAATTCATCAACGCTGAAATTGCAGCAATCATTTGGAGGGCCAGTGTCATGGGGCTAGCTAGCTAGCTAGCATGGTTTGCACTTTAATGCAAATCATTAACATCTTGATTAGGTTTGATGGGGACTACATTAACTGATGCAACACGAGCAAGTTGCTGAACAGTTTCATAACTCATAATTAATGGCCTACCTGACTTCTACGCGATGAGTTATTATGTTATTATATACTCCCTCCGTTCCTAAATAGTCCCTCCGTTCCTAAATACTTGTCTTTCTAGAGATTTCAAAAAGTGACTACATATGGAGCAAAATGAGTGAATCTACACTCTAAAATATGTCTATGTACATCCGTATGTGGTAGTCTATTTGAAATCTCTAGAAAGACAACTATTTAGGAATGGAGGGAGTATAAGTCTTTGTAGAGATTTCATCATGGACTACATACGGAGCAAAATGAGTGAATCTCACTCTAAAATGCATCTATATACATCCGTATGTGGTTCATAGTGAAATCTCTACAAAGACTTATATTTAGGAACGGAGGGAGTATATCAGTGGGTGAAAGAGACGTGGATTAGATTCAAGTGGAGCATCAATTTCTCAGCGCCTTCTCCGCACTTTCCTGTGGGTCTACAACCAGCTGCAAGCTTGCAAAACATGGCTCCCGTAAATTTAGCTGGAAGTCATGTTTGACAGGTATGGACTAGTCTTATGTTTCACACTTCCCTTTGAGCATTTTCAGGCCTACTGCCTTCTGTAAAGTCTTATTTTATCCTTTCAAGGTCGTTCAATTTATATGTAACAGACCAATTATTTACTCAAAAAATTGCTCTGTAGTTTGTACTTTGTACTGCTAAATGAAAATTTGCTCTTCCACTTCTGGATTTTATGCAAAAAAAAAATGATATAACAGCTGATATGCCCTGTCTGACTGGTGAACACCTTTTAATGTATTTTAAACAAGAGCACCCTCAGTAATTGCAGAAAATTGCTCTGTAGTATGTATTATCTGAGGGAACTGCATAATTATAGAACAGTGAAAGAGTTCGAGTTGCTGTTAATATTCTTGAAATTATTAGTTCAATAAATATAATTCTTTGGTTTATTTAGCATATAATCGAATCGCATATTTGCTTCTCTTAATGGTAGTGTTGCTTCTCAGGTGTTAGCTTCTATGGGCTAGACATTGGTGGTCTGAAGCCTGAGGTTGGAGTATGGTTCAATTCTATGTAGTTGTAGTTAAGGGGACTCCGTAAGATGCAACATGCTTCGTATGCTAATATGTAATTTCCATTCTCTAGTGTTCAACTATTTTCCATTGTATTGGACAAGACATGCAAAATGGAGAATAATGAGGCAAAAACTCTGCATATATTCATGAGCTACAAACTGCAAGCTGCTGGTGCAGCGCTACATGTGGTACTGTACAGCTTGGATATTGGCAAGGCATCACTACAGAGTTCAGGAATGCCCTCTCTACTTCCTCTGAAGCATTTCTTCTGAGCAAGCACATGACATACTCCATCACGACTGCATCGAAGGGCAGTGTGATCCTGCTGTCGCATGTGAACCCAAACTCTTCCTGGGACATCCTTAGCAGCTCGCCGAAGACTGTCGTGCCGAGGTATGCCAACGGGACCTCGAACCGCCTCCCGTCGGCCGTGTACATGGCACAGTGACCTTTATCTGCGACCGGCAATGTCGTGCAGCATGCTTCGTCATCCCTGGCCACCGACTTGACCCTTTGCCACTTCCTCACCAACTGAGCAAGCCTCTTGGGATGGATCATGGTCATTGCTGGGTGTTCTTGGTTCTCAGGTTTTTGGCTGAGAAATGTTTGGTCTATGAGTTTGTTGATGAAGTGATGATGTCTTGGCCCCTGAATATATAGGCACAGAGATACGGGACTTACTAGCAGGTGAGAGGGGACAGGGTGCGTGGGCTGCTGGCTGTAAAGGAAGGTAGCCAGATTCAGATCAGATTTTGCTGGGCCATGGACTAGTGGGCTATGGCTAGGCAATCAGTGCATGCTACAGTCTGATGCTAAATTGGGTAGGGGCATTATATGCAACCATCTGGGGTCCAGCTTTTATGGATGTGTTCCACTCGGTATGGTGTCCTGCATCACGAGATTCGGAGGTAAGCTAGTTAGTCTCATTCAAAAGAAATCATTTCTGAATGGCTTGATGACCCTATCTTTGTACGTTTGCAGCAACCCGGCGATTTCAATCAGGTGACTCAGGGTAGTCCTGCCCACGTCCTGGGACGTCCACTGACCGAGTACACAGTCTTTTGTAGCTCCAGCCTCCTAGGAGGATTGTAAAATCCCTTCTCTTCAATGCAATGAAACGCAAAGCTCTTTGCGTTTTCTCGAAAAAAAAATTCAATCAGGTGAGGTGAAGAGCCAGTGTCACAGGGGACACTGCATATGATGGTCAGGAGTCTTTGCTGAGTAGATGCAGAGTATCCATCACTGCTTTTGGGTGTACTTTGCAGTTACAGCTGCAGCTGCATGCTGGGTGTTTGTTGGTTGCTTCAGCAGTGCTTTGATTGCTGCAAATCTAGCAAGTTGCCTGACAGCTCCATATCTCATGGTCTGCATGATTTCTAGCACCGCATGTGACGGCCATCTCCTGGTATCTTCGCTGCATTTTCCAAGGCCTACAACAGTTAGTAACCATCAGGTCGCCAACTTCAGTGAGAAAGTCTGCCCATGGCTTCAGGTAATGGCATCGAGTCCATTTCTACGGAGCTGTCATTAGTTCATTTCAGTATTTCAGTATTTTTTGGTGGGGACCAGGACTGCAATAATGGAAAATGCAATGCAGAGCTCATTTGTTAACTGATAGTTTACTTACATGTCCATGACAGATTGACAGGGTCATTGCTAGCAGTATCAAATTTTGTTTGCTAAACACAAGTCTTGATGAGATGTTGTGTCATAGAACTGATTTCTGTACATTCGCCGGTTTTCCGATCCCAATACAAATATCAACAGGTTTATCTTTGGGTGACCAAGACACACCAGCCTTTTCTCCAGAAGGTCAGTTTCCTTTCTCCTTCTGTGATGATTACGTACTTCTTTGTCACATTTTGGGTCTGAGGCCATATAATCGCACAGAACAAATTTGTCGTGCTTATGCCCTACAAAACTGCGCTCAATCATTTATCTCTGCAACAAAGTATATATATCGAAAGAACAGTGGCCAGTACTGGTTATCTTCCTTGGCTGTTTGTTTGTCAAGATCAAAATGCTTTACATCAACGGTTTCCCTTCCCCCCTTTTTTTCCTACATGTAACTGAGTAGAAAGCAGGTGGTAATCAAGAGCTGCAGAGAGCAACATGCTGGACCACTCCCATAGGTGGCGCCACACCGCTTGCATCGTACTGGCATTGCAATGGCATCGTTATGGAGCCGAGGAACCCTGCCTCCATCTCCGTGGAGGTGCTTCTGATCAAGCACATGTCATACTCCACCACTGCCGCATCAAAGGGAAGTGTGATCTTGCCGTCACAGCCTGTGAAGCCAAACTCCTCTTGGGACAACCTGAGGAGCTCGGCAAAGACTGCCGTGCCTAGAAACGCATGATGTCAGCCGTGTACACGACACATCGGCCCTTGCCAGCCATTGCCGAGGCTTGTGCACGATCGTTCAGTTTCTTTCTCCAGCGCCGCCGCCGACCAGGTGAGCCTCTTCCTCACGAGGGCCACCATCCTCTGCCACTTCTTGGCTAGCTGAGCAAGTCTCCTGGCACTCACCATGGTTGCTACTTGTCTTTCTGGAAACTGAAGAGATTCTTCTGTCAGCTTGACCTTGGAATGCTTTGTCCTGTGGATGGAGCAATGGTGTTTGGAGACACTTAGCCATGGATTTATATCTCAGGGCTGCAACGGGGAAGAGACAAGGCCATGAGTTGTGCTGGGGCAAGTGTTTGGCATGTGCTGGAGCTTGGGTTGGACATTGCCTATGCTACCATACTAACCTGTCTAGCACGAAGACCCATGTTAATTGTGAATCTGCAATGCCCACTGCAAAATACAGCTACTTGCAAGTTGCCTGAGTTAGCACAATGGCTGATCACTCACTGATGACCCAAAATCTGGTCCCATAGAGATATCATAAAAATCATTCATCACATTGTCTGCAGCTACTTCCACCAACATTTCAAACGGAGCACTCATGGCATTGCCTCCTACCCACCGCTCTTGCTGATAGCTACACATGACCCACACGCATATGCACTGCCCTGAGCCCCTCTTCTTTCGACTATAAAACCATGGCCTGCTCAACACAAACTTCATCTCATCTGCAAGCAAGATCACCACACCTTCAGACTTTCAGAACCAAAGTGAAATTTAGTTAGCCAGGAGCACATCAGACTCAAACATGATCCATCCAAAGAAGCTTGCTCAGCTGGCCAAAAAGTGGCAGAGGAAGGTCGCAGCCAGGGCCGGTGGTCAGCAAGCTGACGAGTGCTGCAGCACAGTCGCTGACAAGGGCTATTGCGTGGTGTACACCGCCGACGGGGCGCGGTTCGAGGTCCCGCTGGCGTACCTCGGCACGACAGTCTTCGCTGAACTCCTGAGGATCGCTGGGGAGGAGTTTGGCTTTGCGAGCAGCGAGGGAGGCAGGATCACGCTGCCCTGCAATGCCGCAGTTATGGACTATGTCTTGTGCCTGGTTAGGAGAGATGCCTCTGAGGAGGTCGAGAGAGCGTTCTTGAGCTCCATTGTTGGCCATTGCCATGGCCAAGATGCATTGATGGGACCCACCATCAATTTGCTCTTTACACGTAGCTTAGCTAGTGAAAATCTGGAATTTTTTTGGTCAGATCTCAAGAAATTGTACAGTCTGATATAAGATTGTAGTATCATAGGAAATGAAACATGGTGAATATATCTTTTTCTCTCAGAGAAATCCAATACTTTGCCACTCTAAATCCAAGCACATTATTTGCTGTTGTTTGTACAGAGTACTGAGGAAATAGAAACAAACCATAGCTTAGCTACTGAAAATCTGACATATTTTTGGTCGAATTTCAAGAAGTTTGTGCAGTATGATGTAAGATTGTATTATCATACGAAATGATACAAAATGTATCTTTGTCTCAGAGAAATCTAATACTTTGCCACTCTAAAATCCAATCACCTTATTTGCTGTATTGGAAGAAAGTAGAGACAAACCGTGGGCTTAGAATTTGTGGACATGAAATTCATGAGCAGGAGCGTGGGGATCTTCTGTTCCGTAGACATTACCCAAAATCTACATAAACCCTATACTACATTGAGAGGTCTTTGACATGAGAATGCTACCTCTGCGATCTACATAACTTGCCAATTGCCACTACTTCTAAAAGAAAGCATACGTCCTTTTTGTATGCAACTTATCACATTTTGTGATACATCAGCCCTTAGAATTTTACCTTGAGGGTTCCATCATTGAAATCATTCATGAAACATGTTCTGATATATCTTGCCTGACTAGTAAGCTGACAGAAAATTGCTTCTGCAATATGTATTAATGAGAGAAGGGTATATGATAGATCCTGAAACAACGGAAGAGTTAGGGTGGCTGTTAATTTTCTTGAAGTACTTACTTCATTAATAAATAGTTTGGTGATTTTTTCAATCATAGAATAGACTCACATCTTTGATTCTTTTAGTGGTAGGGGTGCTTGTTAGGTGTTAGCTTCTATGAGCTAGACATTTTGTACGCTGAATCCTGAAGTTATAGTTAATCGCTCTTCTGCCTATGGCCTAATGCCATATAGCTGTAGTTAATGGTACTTTGTGTGTGTGTGTTAATGGTACTTTGTATAATGCAACAAGCTGGTATACTAGTATATAATTTCCTATTCTCCAGTGCTGAACTATTTTAAATTGCATTGCATAAGAGATGCAAAATTGAGAACAATGAGGGACAAAAAATCTGCATATATTCAGGAGCTACAAACTGCAAGCTGCTGGTGCAGCGCTACATTTGGCACTGTACAGCTTGGATATTGGCAAGGCATCACTACAGAGCTCAGGAACGCCCTCTCTACTTCTTCCGATGCATTTCTTCTAAGCAAGCACATGACATAGTCCATCACCACCGCATCGAAGGGCAGTGTGATCCTGCCATCACATGTGAACCCAAACTCTTCCTGGGACATCCTTAGCAGCTCGCCGAAGACCGTCGTGCCGAGATACTCCAACGGGACCTCAAACCGCCTCCCATCGGCCGTGTACATGGCACAGTGCCCTTTATCTGCTACCGGCGATGTCGTGCAGCATGCTTCATCGGCTCTGGATGCTGCCTTGACCCTTTGCCACTTCCTCACCAACTGAGCAAGCCTTTTGGGGTGGATCATGGTCATGGCTGGGTGTTCTTGGTTCTCAGGTATTTGGCTAGAAATGCTTGGTGTATGAGTCTCTTGATGAAGTGGTGGTGTCTTGGCCCCTGAATATATAGGCACAGAGATACGGGACTTACTAGCAGCTGAGAGGGGACATGGTGCGTGGGCTGGTGGCTGTAAAGGGAGGCAGCCAGATTCAGATCAGATTTTGCTGGGCCACGGCTTGCTATGTAGAGGCAAAGGTAGTGGACTAGTGGGCTGAGCAATCAGATGCTACAGTCCTTGATGCTAAAGTGGGCAGGGGCATTAATGCAACCATCTGGGGTCCAGCTTTTATGGATGTGTTCCATTCGCTATGGTGTCCTGTATCACGAGGTTCGGAGGTAAGTTAGTTAGTCTCATTCAAAAGCAATCATTTCTGAATATGATGAGGTGATTGCAATCAGGTGAGGTGAAGAGCCAGTGTTACAGGGGACACTGCATATGATGGTCAGGAGTCTTTGCAGAGTATGCTTCACTGCGTTTGGGTGTACTTTGCACTTACAGCTGCAGCTGCATGCTAGGTGTTTGTTGGTTGGTTTAGCAGTGCTTTGATTGCTGCAAATCTAGCAAGTTGCCTGACAGCTCGATATCTCATGCTCTCCAAGATTTCTAGCACAGCATGTGACAGCCATTTCCTGGTATCTTCGCTGCATTTTCCAATGGGCCTATGACCAGTTGGTAACCATCAGGTCGCCACGTTCAGTGGGAAAGTCTGCCCTTGCCAGCCACCACCGAATACGACGTGCCACATGGTCCTTCGGTTTCTTTCTCCAGCACCGCCGACGACCAAGTGAGCCTCTTCCTTCCGAGGACCGCCATCCTCTGCCACTTCTTGGCCAGCTGAGCAAGTCTCCTGGCACTCACCATGGTAGCTTCTTGTGTTTCTGGAAACTGAAGAGATTGTTTTGTCAGCTCGAGCTTGGAATGCTTTGTCCTGTGGATGGAGCGAGGGTGTTTGGAGACACTTTGCCATTGTTTTATATCTCTGGGCTGCCATGTGCAGGAGACAAGACCATGAGCAGACACAATTGTGCTGAGCCAAGTGTTTGGTGTGTGCCGGAGCTTGGCTTGGTGATTGCCTATGCTACCATACTGACCGGTCTGGCACGAGGACCCTATGTCAGTTGTGAATCTGCAATTCCCACCGCAAAATGTAGCAGCTTGCAAGTTGCCTGAGTTGGCAGAATGGCTGATTATTTACCCAAAATCATTCATCACATTGTCTGTAGCTAGCGGCAACAACATTGCATGCAGAGCACTCATGGCATTGTCTCCTGCCCACCGCTCTTGCTGATAGCTACACACAACCCACACATATGTACTGCCCTGATCCCTTTCTTCCTTCTACTATAAATCCATGGCCTGCTTAACACAAACTTCATCTCATCGGCAAGCAACATCAAAGTCTACTCCACACCTTCAGACTTTCAGAACCAAAGTGAAATTTAGGTAGCCAGGAACACACCAGGTTCAACCATGATCCATCCAAAGAAGCTTGCTCAGCTTGCCAAGAAGTGGCAGAGGAAGGTCGCAGCCGGAGCCGGTGGCCAGCAAGCCGATGAGTGCTGCAGCACGGCATCCATCGCTGACAAGGGCCATTGCGTGGTGTACACCGCCGACGGAGCGCGGTTTGAGGTCCCGCTGGCATACCTCGGCACGACGGTTTTTGGTGAACTCCTGAGGATGGCTGGGGAGGAGTTTGGCTTCGCGAGCAGCGAGGGAGGCAGGATCATGCTGCCCTGTGATGCCACGGTTATGGAGTATGTCTTGTGCCTGGTCAGAAGAGATGCCTCCCAGGAGGTTGAGAGAGCGTTCTTGAGCTCCATTGCTGGGCATTGTCACAACCAAGATGCATCGATGGGACTCACCCATCAATTTTCTCTTTGTACGTAGCTTAGCTGCTGAAACTCTGAAGTATTTTTGGTCGAATCACAAGAACGCTGTACAGTGTAATATAAGATTCTATTATCGAAGGAAAGAATACAAGATATATCCTTATTTCTGAAGTTGCCACTCTAAAGTTGAAGTCCAAACATTATCTTGCCATAATTCATAGAGTACTGAAGAAAGTAGAGACAAACTGCAGACTGAAAGTTTCCGACATGAAATGCGGGAGCAAGAGGGTGGAGATGGCCGGAAGGCGGTGGAATTAGAAGAGTGCGCCGGTGCCAGCGAAGAGCAAGGCAAATCGGGGGACAATCAAACTGCTGATCCCTGTTCCATAGATATCACTACATTGAAAGGTCTTTGACATGAGAATGCTACCTCTGCGATCTATGGTAACTTGCCAATTTGCCACTACCTCTGAAAGTATCCGTCATTCTTGTATGCAACTTTAACACGTTTTGTGATACATCAGCCTGAGTTTTACGGTTTTACCCTGAGGGTTCATCGTTCCAATCGTTCATGAAACTTCTGCTGATATATCTTGTCTGACCAGTAAACTTACAGCAAATTGCTTCAGCAATATGTATTAATTAGAGAAGCGTATATGATAGATCCTGAAACAACGAAAGAGTTATGGTGGCTGTTAATTTTCTTGAAATAATTACTTCATTAATGAATATATTTTTTGATTTTTAAATCATATAATAGAATCACATCTTTGATTCTTTTTATGGTAGTGGTTCTTGTTAGGCGTTAGCTTCTATGAGCTCGGCATTTGTACTCTGAATTCTAAAGTAAAGTAAACCGCTTTCCTGCGCACCATATGGCATAATGCTATATAGTTGTAGTTAATAGTACTTCATATGATGCAACAAGCTGGTATGCCAATATCTAATTTCCATTTCCAGTGTTGAACTATTTTCAGACGCAAAATGGGGAACAATTAAGGAAAAACTCTGGCTATATTCAGGAGCTACAAACTGCAAGCTGCTGCTGTAGCGCTACATGTGTCACAATATGGCTTGGATATTGGCAAGGCATCACTACAGAGCTCAGGAATGCCCTCTCTACTTCCTCTGAAGCATTTCTTCTAAGCAAGCACATGACATACTCCATCACTGCTGCATTGAAGGGCAGCGTGATCCTGCCGTCGCATGTGAACCCAAACTCCTCTTGAGACATCCTTAGCAGCTCGCCGAAGACTGTCGTGCTGAGGTACACCAATGGGACCTCGAACCGCCTCCCATCGGCCGTGTACATGGCACAGTGGCCTTTATCTGCAACCGGCGTCGGCGTCGTGCTGCATGCTTCGTCATCGGTGGAGGGATTCTTGACCCTTTGCCACTTCCTCATCAACTGAGCAAGCTTCCTGGGGTGGATCATGGTCATGGTTGGGTGTTCTTGGTTCTGAGGTATGTTGCTCAGAAATGCTTGGTTTGTGAGTTTGTTGATGAAGTGATGGTGTCTTGGCTCCTTATTATATAGGCATAGAGATATGAGACGTACTAGCAGGTGACAGGGGACAGGGTGTGTGCAATGGTGGCTATAAAGGGGGGGCAGCCAGATTCAGATCAGATTTTGCTGGGCCATGGCATATCCTCTGTAGAGGCAAAGGCAGTGGACTAGTGGGCTAGTGGCTGTGCAATCAGATGCATGATGCAGTGCTTGATGCTAAATTGGACAGAGGCATTATGCAACCATCTGGGATCCAGCTTTGATGGATGTGTTCCATTCGGTTCGCTGTCCTGTATCATGAGATTAGGAGGTAAGCTAGTTAGTCTCGTTCAAAAGCAATCATTTCTAAATGGTTCAATGACCTTATCTTTGTACGTTGGCAGCAACACGGTGATTGCAATCAGGTGAGGTGAAGAGCAAGCATCACAGGGGACACTGCATATGATGGTCAGGAGTCTTTGCTGAGTGGATGCAGAGTACGCTTCACTGCTTTCGGGCTTGTATGCTTCACTTACAGCTGCAGCTGCATGCTAGGTGTTTGTTGGTTGGTTTAGCAGTGCTTTGATTGCTGCAAATCTTGCAAGTTGCCTGATAGCTCCATATCTCATGGTCTGCATGATTTCTAGCACCGCATGTGATAGCCATTTCCTGGTATCCCCCCTGCATTTTCCAATGGGCCCACAACCAGTTGGTAACCATCAGGTCGCCACTTTCAGCTAGATACTCTGGCACCGGGGCTTCAGGTAACGTCATTGAATCCGTTTCTACGGAGCTGTCATTAGTTCATTTCACTAATTGTGTATCTGCAATGCCCACCGCAAAATACAGCAACTTGCAAGTTGCCTGAGTGTGAGTGGGCACAATGGCTGATCACTCATCCAAAATCTGGTCCTGTAGAGATCTCGTCAAAATCATTAATCCCATTGTCTGCAGCTAGCTGCAACAACATTGCATGCGGAGCACTCATGGCATTGTCTCCCGCCCACTGCTCTTGCTGATACCTACACACAACCCACACATGTGCACTGTCCTGAGCCCTCTATTCCTTCTACTATAAATCCATGGCCTCCTCAACACAAACTTCTTCATCTCATCTGCAAGCAAAATCACAATCCACACTACACCTTCAAACTTTCAGAACCAAATAGAAATTTAGCTAGCCAGGAGCACATCAGACTCAAGCATGATCCATCCAAAGAAGCTTGCCCAGCTGGCCAAGAAGTGGCAGAGGAAGGTCGCTGCTGGGGCCAGTGGCCAGCAAGCCGGCGAGTGCTGCAGCACAGTCGCTGACAAGGGCCATTGCGTGGTGTACTCAGCCGACGGGGCGTGGTTCGAGGTCCCCCTTGCGTACCTCGGCACGACGGTCTTCGTCGAACTCCTGAGGATGGCTGGGGAGGAGTTTGGCTTCGCGAGCAGCGAGGGAGGCAGGATCACGCTGCCCTGTGATGCCACGGTTATAGAGTATGTCTTGTGCCTGGTCAGAAGAGACGCCTCTGAGGAGGTCGAGAGAGCGTTCTTGAGCTCCATTGCTGGGCATTGCCATGGCCAAGATGCATCGATGGGACTCACCCATCAATTTGCTCTTTGTACGTAGCTTAGATACTGAAAATCTGAATTTTTTTGGTCGAATTGGTAGAAGTTTGTACAGCTTGATGTCAGATTCAAATTCCAAACACATCATTTTCCGTATTCGTACAGAGTACTGAAGAAAGCAGTGACAAACTTCTGAGGCGTGGATGATATGACTGCAACTCCTATCCTTGGAGAATTGTAGATTTATGACTGAGCGGTGCAGATCGGGGTGGGTTGAGTGGTCTATAGGTTCTTGCAGGGCATGGCCTTCACTGAAACCTGTCTGGGAAATGGTCGCCTCTGCTACTGCTGCTGCCCGCCACCAGTAGTGGCTGCTTCCGGATCTTCGTTCCTTCTTGCCAGCACTGTTGAGCCCTCAGTGTTGAGCCTTCTTGCCAGCACTGTTGAGCCCTCAGTGTCATTCTGGGAGCCTGCTACTCAGATGCGCAGCTAGTGTCTGCAGGCGTGGGCTAGGCGGCATCTTGTCGGCTCCTCCACACTCCGGTGAGATTTTTATACCTAGCCTGTGGTAGTCTGTATCAAGGCATCAGATTTTCTCAAGTTCATGACCTGCTTGTTGTGACTAAGGAAGTGAAAAGACGCTTCCTTATGTTCTATCTCAGACTGATTTGGGTTGGGCACAATGTCCCTAGTTTCTGAAGAAACTAGGAACTCATAAATCTTTTTGAAACTGCTTTTGATCTTCTGTTCCATAGACATTGCCCTAAATCTAGATAAACACTATTACTACATTGAAAGGTAATTTGAGACGAGAATACTGCCTCTGCGGTCTATGGCAACTTGCCAGTTTTGCCACTACCTCTGAAAGCATCGTCATTCTTGTATGCAACTTTAACACGTTTTATGATACATGAGCCCTTCTAGAGTTTTACTCTGAGGGTTCATCATTGAAATCATTCATGAAACTTTTGCTGATGTATCTCTTGTCTGACTAGTAAACTTACAGAAAGTTGCTTCTGCAATATCTATTAATGAGACAAGCGTATATGATAGATCACTAAACAATGAAAGAGTTTGGGCGGATGTTGTTTTCTTGAAATAATTACTTCATTACCTAATATAGTTTTGTGATTTATTATCATAGAATAGGAGCTAGACATTTTCACTCTGAATCCTGAGGTTAAAGTAAATCACTTTGCTGCACCCTATGGCCTAGTGCTATATATTTGTAGTTAATAGTAGTATAGTACTTCGTATAAAGCAACAAGTTTATACGGAGTATATGATAATATTTAATTTCTATTCTCCGGTGTTGAACTATTTTCAGACGTTTTTTGTGTTTTCGAGTGTGGTTTTGTGTAGCCTGAGCTACACGGTACCCCATATCTTAGCCATCCATTTTGGCATCAAGATCCGTGCAGGCACATTTGTCATTTTTGTTTCTCTCGGACGAAACAACGTATAAACTTCAAACTTTGCAGGACAACAAAACATTCTAATTACTACGTGAGAAAAAACTTTCAAATTTTTTCATGCATTTAAAATCTAAAAATTATTTTTTTAATCAAAAAAAAAATCCTCATTTTCTATATTTATGTTGGTCCAAAAAATCTGAAAGTTTTTTCACACATTTAAGTTGTAAAGTTTGTTTGACCTGCAAAGTTTAAAGTCCATATTTTCTTTCATTTGAGAGAAACAAAAAAGAGAAATCTGCTTGTTGCAAGTTAGTTGGAGAGTACGGATCTCAAAGCAGTGTTGAAGGGCTGAAGATAAGAGGTTCCATGTAGGACGAGCTACAAAGGAACTTTGTGTTTTCTGTTTTCAGATGCAAAATGGAGAACAGTGAGGGGAAAACTCTATATTCAGGAGCTACAAACTGCAAGCTGCTGGTGCAACATTACATGTGGCACCGTACAACTTGGATATTGGCAAGGCATCACTACAGAGCTCAGGAATGCCCTCTCTACTTCCCTGAAGCATTTCTCCTGAGCAAGCACATGACATACTCCATCACCACTGCATTGAAGGGAAGCATGATCCGGCCGTGGCATGTGAACCCAAACTCTTCCTTGGACATCCTTAGTAGCTCGCCGAAGATTGTCTTGCCGAGGTACGCCAAGGGGACCTCGAATCGCCTCCCATCAGTCGTGTACATGATGCAGTGGCCTTTATCTGCGACCGGCGATGATGTGCAGCATGCTTCGTCATCTCTGGATGTTGCCTTGACCCTTTGGCACTTCCTCACAAACTGAGCAAGCCTCTTGGGGTGGATCATGGTCATGGCTGGGTGTTCTTGGTTCTCAGCTGTTTTGCTCAGAAATGCTTGGTCTGTGAGTTTGTTGATGAAGTGATGATGTCTTGGCCACTGAATATATAGGCACAGAGATATGGGACATACTAAAAGTTGACAGGGGACAAGGTGTGTGCAATGGTGGCTATAAAGGGAGGCAGCCAGATTCAGATAAGATTTTTCTGGGTAGAGGCAAAGGTAGTGGACTAGTGGGCTAGTGGGTATGCAATCAAATGCATGCTACAGCGTTTGATGCTAGATTGGTAGAGGCATTCTGCAACCATCTGGGGTCCAGCTTTTATGGATGTGTTCCATTCGGTACGGTATCCTGTATCATGAATTCATGAGATTGGGAGGTAAGCTATATAGTTAGTCTCGTTCAACAGCAAGCATTTCTGAATGGTTCAATGGCCCAATCTTTATATGTTTGTACTTTCGCAGCAACCCGGTGATTGCAATCAGGTGAGGTCAAGAGCCAGCATCACATGGGACACTGCATATGATGGTCAAGAGCCTTTGCCGAGTACGCTTCACTGCCTTTGGGTGTGTACTTTGCACTTATAGCTGCAGCTGCATGCTAGGTGTTTGTTGGTTGGTTTAGCAGTGCTTTGATTGCTGCAAATCTAGCAAGTTGCTTGACAGCTCCATATCTCATGGTCTGCATGATTTCTAGCACCACATGTGACGGCCATTTCCTGGTATCACCCCTCCATTTTCCAATGGGCTCACAACCAGTTGGTAACCATCAGGTTACCACCTTCCGCCAGAAACTCCAGCACCGGAGCTTCAGGCAATGTCATTGAATCCATTTCTACGGAGCTGTGATTAGTTCATTTCACTATCCTTTTGGGGGCTGCGTTTTGATTTTCGGTTTGTGTTTTTTTTCGTCCTTGGGCGAAATGGCCGAATTTCGGGAATTTCAAATTTTTCGGCAAAATCTCGGACGAAATTGCAAAATCAAAATTTGAAAATTTGATCAAAATTCAACTGAAATTTGGCCGAAATTCGGCCGAAATTCAAACAAAATTTGAAATAAAACAAAGCATAAACATATCAGTGCAACAACCACCAGGATGGATCGAATAAACTTCAGCAAATAAGCTCTAGGGATTAATAAAACTACATCTGTCCAACATATAGCAGGCGCACATTAGTTATAAAGTTTCCAACAACATAACCATTAACAGTCCAACATCATTTCAACCATCACAGCGTAGTTCATAGTTTAAATAGTCCGGTACAGCCAACAGACTTAAAGGATTACACATAGAAATAACAGCTCCAAAAGACAACCATCAAAGCATGACACTGATACAGCAGCTCCAAGCTTGCCTACATCCAAAAGCTTCTTGATATCCCTGGATATTCTTCACATGCCATTACTGCTTTAGAGAAAATAGAGGAAGGGTCAGGATGGAGGTATTCTGCATTGGAATTATCTTCTGCCACTTTGTGCAACAAAAAATAAAATGGATTATCAGGAGAAGTAGCTAGTAGAACAATATTCAAATGTTATGCATGCTCATGAATCAAATAACAAATCTACTACAACAATATAGTTTTTATTCACCAAAAAGCTTTAGGAACAAAGGTTATGGCTCCATATACTAGAATGATGAATTTTAGTTTATAGTTTATACTCCAACACAACAAAACTCTAAGGATACAAAGAAAGCAACATAGACACAAACAACCCGCTGTAGGCTTGGACTAGCCATTTGTCAATTGTCACACAAAAGGAAAATCCACGGTGAAAAATGTGAATCAAAAATCATGCATAAGCTCAAGGTATTGCAGGATAAATATAGTGGTTAACATACCTATAAAACAGCAGCTCCAAGCTTGCATACATCCAAAAGCTTCTTGATATCCTTAGTTCTTCATGTGGCATTTTTGGTTTAGAGAAAATAGAGAAAGGATCGGGATGGATGTAGTTCAACATCAAAAATTTCTTCTTCCACTTTGTGCATAATAAAAAAAAATGGACTAACAGAGAACATCACTACTAGGTGATTGGTAGCAATTAGAACAACACTGATAGGTGATAAGTATAGCAACTACAACATCAATACAAGATAAGTGGCAATTATAACAACACTACTAGGTGATAATTGACAAGTAGCAATTAGAGCAGCAGTACTGATCATACACAGTGAGAATAAATATTAGAGCGGAAACGCCAAAAATAAGAGACTTACCAAATCTACGAGTAGAGGCTGTTCACTTCCTTGGTCTTCTTCCTAACTAGTCGTCCAGATCTACGAGTCTCCAAATTGCCAACACTTGCTGCTGTCTTCTTTTCAGCTTGTACTTGTGTCTCTTCTTCCACTTGCATTTGTGTCTCTTGCTGATCTTGTTGATCATCCTCATCATCCTCACTCACCCCATCATCATCCTCACTCTCATTATCAACATACTCATTATCTTCGTCGTCATCCTCACTCTCAGTTTCGACATACTCATTCTCCTCATCATGATTCCTCTTTCTTTTCTTCTTATTACCCCTTGTACCAACATAAGAATCCTTCCTGCTTGAGTTGAGACGCCTTATTTTCTCAAAAACAGCACTGGCTTCATTAGCTCCATCCACAATTGGATCCTCTTCATCATCATTCAGCCACTCCATTATTGGATTTGCTTCATCAAACATTGTTGTGTCCATCAGCAGTGCACTTGGATCAACTTCATTATCTATATCTTTCTCTTGATCTTCTTCAGCACGTATCTTCAAAGTTTGAATAGTAAACCAAGTAAATTATATGACATGCAAGGACAATACAAGGTTGACAAAGAAAGTAAAATGAGTTAGTTTATACCTTTAGGTTGTAGCGTACAGAAACTAGCTTGTGGAGCTTGTCATATAAAAGACGATTTCTTTGCTTTGTGTGCACCAAAGCAAAGGCGCTCCAATTCCTCTCACACGCACTTGATGAGACACATTGTGAGCAAATTCTCATTGCACACTTCTGCAATGCAGGAACATCCCCTCCAAATTGAAACCACCATTGGGCTGCAAGATATCACCAATGAAATTTTTAGAATTGCAAACAAAAAGGAGATGAAAATTCTAAAACTAAAGGACCATGTCTTACTTGGCTCCATTCTCGCCGCAGCTTCTTCTGCTAATCTGGTCCCAAACCTCCCTTGGCACTCCCTAAACTTACTTACTTCATCAATGGCTGAAAGAGCACTCCTTGGATCTAATATCTTCGCTATCGCATCTGTTAGTGAGGTAGCATAATCTGTATGGTTGCAAAGGTTGAGCTTGTAATGTGTATATGGATCAAGGACAGCAGCTGCATAAAAATAGAGCAACATGAATTAAAAACAGAAAAAAAGAGAAATATAAATTTCAAAATTCCATTCATTTATGAATACCTGCAACCATAAATGTATCTTCTTCCATTGCCTCTATCCTCTTGCCCACCTTGCGCATGAAACTAAGGTACAACCTTGATGTAGGGCCTAGATGTGCTTCCATCCCTTGTATAGCGAGCATCATACTTTTCTTGAATCCAGAAAGAGTGCATTGTTTCTGTGTATCAGCATACCTCATGGCCTTATAAAGTGGCCTCAACGAACCCAATACCCACTCTAGCGTGTTCCACCAAACATTACTAGACAAACATTCTTCAGCAAACACATATCCAGGCTCATACCTCCACTGACACTCCTTCCAATCAGTCGAAACCATCCACTCCCTAAATTTATCTTTCTTCAAATGGTAACTCTCAAGGAACATGAAGACAGTCCCAAAACGGGTGGCATTTGGTCTAATTAGTTCACCACCTATGTTCTTCTTCATGTTATCATGTAGGTTATTGTGCTTATGCAAGAACCTACAGATTGTCTTGGCACTCTTGACTATCACATCAACCTCGGGAAATTTGGCTATATCTTTTAACATAAGATTGACGGTGTGGGCAGCACACGGTTGCCAAACAATATGAGAGTATTTTGGCTCTTCTATAAGGGTTTTGCAAGCTTTCTTATAGTTGGACCCATTATCGGTTACTATTTGAACAATATGTTCATGGCCTATCTCTTCTACAACCTTCTCAATCTCTCTATAGATAAAGTCTGCAAAATTATGTAAAATGCATATACCTAATTAGAACAAAGCAAGTATTTTAAGAACATAAGACAATTGTATTACAGATCCAAGAATTGAACAAGCAAGTATTGTAGGAGCATATGTAAAATGCATATATACCTAATTAGAACAAGGCATTGAGAACATAAAACAATCCTAAAACAGATTCAAGTATTCAAGAAGCAAGTATTCTAAGAACATATGTGAAATGCATGTATAGGACAAATACAAGTGTTCAAGAAGCAAGTAAAATGCGAAGAAGGGGAGGAAGAAGTAACCTGAATTCTGAGTCTGACCGGATGCATCAATGGTATTGAGGAAGAACATTCGTGTATTACAATATACCATGAAGTTTATGAGGCTCATTCCTGTTGGACCAGTCCAAGAGTCACACATAAGAGTCACACCGAAGTTTTTCCAATCTTGTTTAAATTTTTGAAGAAAGGAAGTAGCTTCATCATAGTTAGCCTCCAAATATTTCCCATCAATCTCCTTCGCGGTTGGTATAGGAGCAGGCCCTAATTGTTGAGTGATCTTCACAACAGCTTGGAAGTATGGGCAATCAGCTTTACGTCCAGCAATATCATTGGCATGAAAAAACTTGGACCAAGCTAGGCCAAGTGCATCTCTTGAATTAGGATCCAAAGCACTAGTGATCTTGGGCTGCATAGATACTTTGTTGCTGGATAATTGTTTGTCAAAATAGGCAGTGATACTCCTTTTGCCAACAGAAACCCGCACATCACCCACGCCCCCCCTACCAATCCTCCTTTCAACTCCGCGGGAGACATTCGGGTCACGCAAGGCCTCTCTAATATTCATCTGTATTTCTTCTTCATCATCATCTAGTATGTTAATCACCCCTCCTTTTTGATACAACCCTTCCATAATATTTCTTTCAATTCTCAGCCTGCTATTTTGTTTGTCTCTTTTCTTCCTCTTTGATTCATCCCGGCACTCTCTCATTGCATCTCTCACATTTCTTGGCACATTGGGGCAGCTCCTCACATTACCTACAATACCACCAAGGTGCTCCGCAACACGGCTTGCCTTGAAGGACAGAAGCGCATCCCGCTCTCTGCTGATGCAGGTTCCAGTCCCACCTGATATCCTTGTATGGGCACGAGAATCAGATGACGATAGTTGGAAAATCAGTAGGCAAAGTATTGCTGCAACGCGTTGGGCGAGATGCCCAAGCTGAGCCATACTGGTCGAGCGGGGCGACAGTGGATGGGAACGATGACGGAATGGCCGGAGAGAATACCTGATCCACACCACAAGCACAATATATGAACTGACTTACTCCACAATATATGGTCTACGATATTACTGTTCCCCAGCTTTGGTCTTGGGATGCATACTTTTCTTATGCAGAAAGTCATGGCTGGAGTAGGTTTAGACTTTTCTTACACTATTTCCCCAAGTTTTGGTCTTCGTGTACACAACGCGGCAGCCCTTGCCAGGCAACACCGAGTACGACGTGCCACAGGACCCTTCGGTTTCTTTCTCCACCACCGTTGACGACCAGGTGAGCCTCTTCCTCCCGCAGACCACCATCCTCTGCCACTTCTTCGCTAGCTGAGCAAGTCTTGTGGCACTCACCATGGTAGTTTCTTGTGTTTCTGCTTTCTGAAAACTGAAGAGATTCTTTTGTCGCCTCGAGTTTGGAATGCTTTCTTCTGTGGGTGCCACGATGGTCTTTGGAGGCACTTAGCCATGGATTTATATCTCAGCGCAGCCATGGGCAGGAGACAAGGCCATGAGCAGCCAAAGTTGTGCCGGGGCAACCGGGCAAGTGTTCGGCAAGTGCATGCGCTACCATGCCCACCGCAAAATACTGCTACTTGCAAGTTGCCTGAGTGGGCACAATGGCTGATCACTCACCCAAAATCTGGTCCCATAGAGATCTCGTCAAAATCAGTGATCACATTGTCTGCAGCAAGCTGCAACAGCATTGCATGCAGAGCACTCATGGCATTGTCTCCTGCCCACCGCTCTTTCTGATAGCTACGCACAACCCACACATGTAAACTGCCCTGACCCCTCTCTCCCTTCTACTATAAATCCATGGCCTGCTCATCACAAACTTCTTCATCTCATCTGCAAACAACATCACTATCTACACCACACCTTCAGACTTTTGGAGCCAAAGTGAAATTTAGCCAGCCAAGAACACTTCAGACTCAAACATGATTCATTCAAAGAAGCTTGCTCAGCTGGCCAAGAAGTGGCAGAGGAAGGTGGTGGCCGGAGCTGGTGGCCAGCAGACCGGCGAGTCCTGCAGCACGGTCGCTGACAAGGGCCATTGCGTGGTGTACGCTGCTGACGGGGCACGGTTCGAGGTCCCGCTGGCATACCTCCTCACGACAGTCTTCGGTGAGCTCCTGAGGATGTCTGGGGAAGAGTTCGGCTTCGCGAACAGCGAGGGAGGCAGGATCATGCTGCCCTGCGACGCCGTGGTTGTGGAGTATGTCTTGTGCCTGGTCAGGAGAGACGCCTCCGAGGAGGTCGAGAGAGCGTTCTTGAGCTCCATTGTGGGGCATTGCCACAGCCAAGATGCATCGGTGGGACTCACCCATAAAGTTGCGCTTTGTACATAGCTAAGCTACTGAAAATCTGAAATATTTTTGGTAGAAACACAAGAAGTTTGTACAGTCTGATGTAAGAGTCTATAATCATAGGAAATGTCACAAAATATATCTTTTTCTCTCGGAGAAATCTAATACCTGGCCACTCCAAAACCCAAGCACATTATTTGCCTTAGTTCGTCCAAGTACTGAAGAAAGTAGATACAAACTGCTGGCTCAAAGGGCGTGAATGTCTGAAGGAGGTGAAATTCTTTTATATGCGTTGATGTCAGTGACAGGCGTGCAGAGGCGTTGATGATTAGACTGCCAATTGTCGATTTATGGCTAAGCGGTGCAGATCGAGGTGGGTTGAGTGGTCTATAGGTTTTTGCGGGGCATGGCCTCCGCCGAAGCCTGCCTGGGAAATGAACTCCTCTGCTGCCTCTGCTGCCTGCCAGCAGTAGTGGCTTCTTCCTGATCTTCGTTCTCCTGTGCCAGCGTCGTTGAGTCCTGGGCTTCATTCTGGGAGTCTGCTATTTAGACGTGCAGCTAGTGTCTGCAGGTGTGGGCTGGGTGGCTCTTGTCGGCTTCTCCACAATCCTATGAGAATTTAATACGGAATTAATAAGCCCTCTAGCCGGACTAGTCTGCAGAAAAGCAAGCAGATTTTCTCAAGTTCTTCATGAGCTGCTTGTTGTGATTCAAGAAGTGAAAAGACACTTCCTACTGTTCTATATCAGTCTAATTTTGGTTGGGTACAAACTAGGATATCATAAATCTTTCTGATACTGCATTTGATGTTCTGCTCCATAGACATTACCCCAAATCTAGATAAACCCTGTTACTACATTGAAAGGTTCTTTGACATGAGAATGCTACCTCGATATATGGTAACTTGCCAATTTGCCGCTACCTTAGAAATCACCCATCATTCTTGTATGCAACTTTACAACATTTGTTTTACACACCAGCCCTTCCAGAGTTTTACCCTGAGGGTTCATCATTGAAGTCGTTCATGAAACTTCTGCTAGTATATCTTCTCTGACTAGTAAACTTACAGAAAATTGCTTCTGCAATATCTATTAATGAGAGAAGCTTATGTGATAAATCATGAAACAATTCTTCGGCGTTGAACTATTTTCAGACGCAAAATGGAGAACAATGAGGGAAAACTCTATATTCAGGAGCTACAAACTGCAAGCTGCTGGTGCAGCGCTACATGTGGCACCATACAGCTTGGATATTGGCAAGGCATCACTACAGAGTTCAGGAATGCTCTCTCTACTTCCTCTCAAGCATTTCTTCTGAGCAAGCAGATGTCATACTCCACCGCTGCATCGAAGGGCAGTGTGATCCTGCTGTCTAATGTAAACCCATATTCCTCCTAGGACATCCTTAGCAGCTCGCCGAAGACTGTCATCTCGAGGTACGTCAAGGGGACCTCGAACCTCCTCCCATCGGCCGTGTACATGGCGCAGTGGCCTTTATCTGTGATTGGTGATGTTGTGCAGCATGCTTCGTCATCACTAGAGGGGTTGTTGACCTTTTTTCCACTTGCTCACTAACTGAGCGAGTCTTTTGGGATGTATCGTGGCCATGCTTGTGTGTTCTTGGTTCTGAGGTATGTAGCTCAGAAATTCTTGATCTGTGAGTTTGTTGATGAAGTGGTGGTGTACTACTAGCTAGCCCATGAATATATAGGCACAACCATATGACTAATTTGCATTTGGAAGGGGATAACACCATGAGCTTGGTGAGTGCAATGGTGCCTGTAAAGGGAGGCATCCAGATTCAGATCAGATTTGCTGTGTTGGATGAATAGCAACTAACTCTTTACTGAGGGCCAAAGACCAGTACATATACAGGTGTGGCAAAGTGCAGAAAAGCCCCTTATACAATGGGGATGTACACAATGAACTATACACATCTAACACCCCCCCTCAAACTCATGGTGGATCAACAACACTGAGTTTGGAGAGGAAAAACCCATGCTGCGCTCGAGTCTGTGCCTTCGTGAAGAAGTCAGCCAACTGTAACTCAGAGGGCACATAGTGAAGAGCGAGAGTCTGATCCTGCACAGCAGCACGCACAAAGTGGGCATCCACACCGATGTGCTTGGTGAGCTCATGCTTCACCGGGTCACGCGCAATACTGATAGCACCGGTACTGTCGGACAGGAGAGGAGTTGAGGTAGTAGCAGACACACCAAAATCCTCACGTAACCGCCGTAACCAAATCACCTTAGCGGTCAACATAGCCATGGCTCGCAACTCAGCCTCTGTACTCGAGCGAGAAACTGTAGTCTGCTTCTTTGTCTTCCAGGCAATAAGAGAGCCATCAAGAAAGACACAGTAAGCAGACAGCGAGCGTCGATCAGAGGGATCACTAGCCCAGGTAGCATCAGAGTAGGCCTGGAGCGCAAGAGAGATGGAGTGGGGAAAGAAAAGGCGCTGAGAGATCGTGCCACGAAGATATCGGAGAACACGGAGGAGGTGACTATAGTGGACAGAGGTGGGGGCTGAAACAAACCGACTGAGGATGTGGACAGGATAGGAGATGTCAGGGCACGTAACAGCCAGATAGACAAGGCTGCCAACGAGGTGACCATAGCGAGTGGGATTAGGAAGAGGGTCACCATCAGAGGCACGAAGCTGAACGTTGAGCTCCATAGGAGTCACAACAGTGCGCTCATCACCAAGGGCAGCGCGAGCAAGAAGATCCTGAATGTATTTTTCTTGGGAGATGTAGAAGCCATCAGGGGTCGAGGAGATCTCAATCCCAAGAAAATAGCGAAGAGGACCAAGATCAGTCATAAGGAACTGCTCGTGAAGGCGGGCCTTAACAAAGGCGATGTAATCAGTGTCGTCACCAGTGATGATCATGTCATCAACATAGAGAAGGAGAAGAGTCTGACCACGAGGAGACGTGTGAATAAACAGCGCGGGATCATGGTCACTGGGCAAGAAACCAGCCGTGGTCACCACAGATGCGAAGCGCTCAAACCAGGCGCGAGGGCCTGTTTGAGACCATATAGAGAGCGGCGAAGTCTACAGACCATACCATCAGGAGCATAGTACCCCTGTGGTGGTTGCATATAAACTTCCTCACGCAACTCGCCATTGAGAAAAGCGTTCTGAACATCAAGTTGAGAGATAGACCACTGACGAACAGAAGCCACAGCAAGAAGAGTGCGGACAGTAGTCATGTGGGCCACATGAGCGAAAGTCTCATCATAATCGCGCCCCTGCTCCTGCTGAAAGCCACGGGTCACAAGACGAGCTTTGTAGCGCTCAAGAGAACCATCGGAGCGAGTCTTAAGCTTGTAGACCCACTTGCAGGTGATGGGACGGACACCGAAAGGGAGGGGAACGAGATCCCATGTGCCAGAGCGCTCAAGGGCAGCAAGCTCCTCGGCCATCGCAAGCTGTCATTCAGGCTGAGTCATGGCAGTGCGATAGGAAGTGGGCTCAGTCAAAGCAGAGAGACCGTACCGATCAGGGGAGTAGCGATTAGGCGGAGGGCGAGGCCGAGCACGAAGGTTATGAACTGGAGGGGGTGTGAGAGGAGGTGCACCAGAGGTGGAAGGCTCGTCAGAGGCAACATCCTCAGTACGAGAACGGCGAGTATAGTGGAGAGGAAACGATGAGAGAGGGCGACGGACTGGAGAGGATGGGGGAGAAGTGGAGGAGGAGGGAGAAGACGGGGTCAGAGGTGAATGAGAAGGAAGGAGAGGTGCCGGAGGAAGAGATGACACAAGAGGCACATAGCAGGGTGTATCGGGGAGAAGAAGGAAAGAAAGGTCGTCCACAGAGAAGCTGGAGGAAGAAGAACGTGGGTAGTAAGAGCGAGACTCGTCAAAAGTCACATCACGCGAGATGCGCAAGCGACGACCCACTGGATCCCAACACCGATAGCCCTTGTGCACATCACTGTAGCCAAGGAAAACACACTCGACCGACTGAGCAGTCAGTTTGGTGCGTTCGCGGGGGGCAAGAAGAACGTAGCAGACGCATCCAAACATTCGAAGAGCTGAGTAGTCAGGAGAGCGACCGGTGAGACACTCCATAGGAATGGCACCCTGCAGAGCAGCCGATGGCTGAATGTTGATGAGATAGGTGGATGCGGAAACAGCCTCAGCCCAAAAATGGGGTGGAAGGGAAGCAGCAATCATCAGCGGACGAGCCGTCTCAAGCAAATGACGATGCTTTCGCTCGGCAACACCATTCTGTGCATGAGCACCCGGACAGGAGAACTGGGCAAGAGTACCCTGTTCCGCGAGAAAACCACGCAACAGCTGAGAGATATGCTCTCCAGCAGAGTCAGCACGAAAAGTGCGAATGGGCGTGGCAAATTGGGTGTGAACCATGGCAGCAAAACGTTTGTATATAGGGAGAACTTCGCTACGAGATTTCATAAAGTAGAGCCAAGTGTAGCGAGAGAAATCATCAATAAACAAAACATAGTAGCGATGACCACCTTTCGAATCAAAGGGAGTAGGACCCCAGACATCAGAATGAACTAAGTTAAACGGACGCTGAGATACAGACTCACTAGTAGGATAAGGTAACTGAGTCTGTTTGCCAAGTCTGCAGCCATTACAATGTAAGGAGACATCTCCAGATACAGACCCTAAGAGGCCCTGACGAACTAAGGAAGACAAGCGAGAGCCACAGATGTGACCGAGGCGATGATGCCACTGCTGGAAGGACACAGGCGAAGAGGCGTCAAGAGCATGAGAGCTGGCATGAGTGGTGGCAGCGGAAGGAACACAAAGCCAGTCAACCTCCCAAAGGCCCTCTGACTCACGGCGCCTGGGGCCAGCACCAACCAAAGCCTTGGTGCGACGATCCTGAATGGAGCAAGAGTCGGTATCAAGAATGACACGACAACCAGAATCAGTAAGTTGGGCAGCGGAAAAAAGATTCATGGTAAGGCGAGGAACATGTGAAACACTCGGAACAGAAAAAGATGGAGTGGAAAGAATACCACGACTAGTAACAGGAAGAGATGTGCCATCGGCAGTAAGAACATTGACAGGCAAATCAAGAGGTCGGAGAGAAGATAGTACGGAAGAATCAGAAGACATATGAAAAAAAGCTCCAGAATCCAGAACCCACGAAGATGTACCTGACTGTGTAGATGCCTGTGATGGTGAGAAGGAGGATGCAGTCACAGCAGCAGCAGAGCCAGTCGACGAGGAGCCTGAGGAAGCAAGGAGACGCTTGAGGCGAACAATGTCCTGGTCAGTGAGTGACGGAGTCGAGGAAGACACAGGAGGTCCACCGGAGGAGGAGCGCCTCTGGTCTCGTTTCTTTTGACGACAATCAGACTCTGGGTGACCTTGCCGGGAGTAGTAACCACAGACGGTGTCACGGCGCGACGTGCCCTTCTCAGCATAAGAAGGACGGCTCACCCCCCTGGAGGAGTAGGCAGGAGCGGTGAGGCGAGCAGACGACACAGGAGCCCGGGCAGCCAACACTGACGGAACCAGAAGCAACCCAGCAGAGCGAAGGCGTGTCTCCTCAGCACGAAGCTCGGCAAGCACCTCCGAGATAGGAACACGACCACGAGCAAGCAAGTGAGCACGCCTGGGCTCAAACTCAGAGCGGAGATGAGATAAGAACTCATGAACCCTCTGAAACTCCAAGTCAGACCGCGTAGTCTGACAGCAACGGCAAGTGCCACAAACAACTGTCCACAGTGAGTCAAGCTGACGCCAGATGGCAGAGCACTGAGAATAGAACTCATCAACAGACGAGTCACCCTACTGAAGAGCATGCTCCTGACGCACCACAGAGAGGTATAAAACATCGCCAGAGGGCTGATAGTGCTGACAAAGATATGACCACATCGCTGCAACAGTGCCAAGGGCCATGAACTCGGAAGCAAACTGAGGGAGGACACTGGCAGTGAGAACAACAGCAGCTCGAGCATCATCATTGCACCACTAAGTGTAAGTAGACAGATCATCCCGGTAGACAGAAAGAGCATTAGAGTAGGCAGATACCTGCTGATCATAGGCATCAACTGCAGCATCATCAAGAGCCTTGGCTGCATCCCGATCAGCCTGAGAAGCATCAGCAGCAAGCACCGGCGGTACTGGCGGAACAGGCGCCACCGGAGCAACAGGGCACGGCGGACAGTGTACCTCGCCAGAGAGAACACCCCACAGCAGAAGACCGCGCATATGAATACGCATGAAACCGGCGAACTCAGCATAGTTGGTGCCATCAAAGATCACCGAGCAGCGAGGAACAACCACATAACCCGAGGATGACATACTGAGATATCCCTTTGTGCTGTTTCTGCCTCCTTTTTTTGGACAAAGAACACCCGAACAGAGGCCGGAGCGAGGGGCCCGAACTAGATGCAAGAGAAGCCCGCGCACGACCGGCTCGGGAGGCAGCAACGGTCCTGGCGCACGACCGGCTCGGGAGGCAGCAGCGGTCCTGGCGCACGACCTGCTCGGGAGGCAGCAGCGCGCAAGGCGCACGACCGGCTCGGGAGGCAACAGCGCTCGAGGAGAGGTCAACGCCCCCCGCAGCCCGCAGAGGAAGCAGATCGAGGCCGGGGCGGATTCTGATCC